TCTAAAACTTGCCAGTTGAACCTCTTGCCTTCCCTAAAGCCCAGCTTTTATTTTATTTTTCACTCTGTCAAAGCTGATAGTTTCTTCTGCAGCCTTTCTGCTGTGGTGCATGACTGCCCTCTAGCAGTGACAGATTTTTTTTTTTTTTGCCAGAATCAATTCAACCACAATACAACTGATGGTGATCACACAATTGCCTCATTTTCTCATATGATGTTTGGGCACATGTGGCTCATATATTAATCACCCCACATGATCTTCCTACCAGCTTGTGATTCCCTGATGATGTTCTATCATATCTGCCAACACGTTACGTTGTGTTGCTCCGTCGTGAGCTGATTTAGGAGCTGATTTTTGTGAGTGTTTCTGTGTGGTGCAGTGGATAGTGTGTTGGAGTTGGATTGGGTTGATGAAGACAGGAGGAAGGCCCAGGTTTAGATCTTTGTTTAGCCGTAGTGGGAAAGGATTTTGAGGCAGACATCCTGGCCCACACCTAGCAGAATCAGCAAGAGGGCCAGGATTTTGAAGTACAGTACTGTATCTGGGATGCAGGTGGCGCTGTGGGTTAAACCACAGAGCCTAGGACTTGCCAATCAGAAGGTCGGCGGTTAAAATCCCTGCGACGGGCACGTCAAAGTGCAAGTAGATAAATAGGTACCACTCCGGTGGGAAGGTAAACAGTGTTTCCGTGCGCTGCTCTGGTTCGCCAGAAGCGGCTTAGTCATGCTGACTACATGACCCGGAAGCTGTATACTGGCTCCCTTGGCCAATAAAGCGAGATGAGCGCCGCAACCCCAGAGTCGGCCACGACTGGACCTAATGTTCAGGGGTCCCTTTACCTTTACCGTCACTGTATCTAACGTCATGCACATTATCATTGTTAACGGAGAAATCTGAGGGCTCCCTTGGACAAAAAAAAAAACCAAGGACACCAGCCAGGAATACCAGAGCAAAACAGCAGCCAGTAGGCTTGGTCTTTATTGAAGACTGTTGTGACAGGACTCCCACCTGCCACAAGATGGAACAAGATGGAAGCCCCGAACAAAAGAGCCCCCAAACTTTTATTAGCTGCTTATCCCCATGTTACACCTGCCCCCAAACTACATCACTCATACATCACGGTTACATCATGAAAGGGAAGGTCTAGTGGCAGTAATCTGAGCATCCTGGACCCTGCCCCATGGTTCTCCTTGCCCTCCACCAAACACCCATCAAGTGTAACAAAAGAGATATTTACATTTCCTCATTTTCCAACCAAGTTAATCACACCCTTTTGTCTTCATCTGGGTTTGTTATTTCTGGAATGGCTACCTGTCTGGCACTCAGGTATCAGGATGCCAGGGATTATCACTCAGGCAGAGGGGCTGCTGAGTAGCTGAATTTCTGAAGTTTTCCCTGTTAGCCAGTACATAGAAACATTTATCAGTGAATTGTTACATTTGGTATCGTGCATCAAAGGCCCTTTGAATAGATAGGAAGAAACTGTGATGAAGTGTTTTGTGGGGACAAATCACAAAAGTCACAAAAGTGATTGTGCTGATTTTGGTAGTGGGCTGCATGTGCTTGATATCTGCTGGAGGCAGTGGCGTAGCGTGGGGGGTGCAGGGGGGGCCGGCCGCACCGGGCGCAACATCTGGGGTTAGGGCAAATCCACGGGTTAGGGGGCGCAAATCCACGGGTTAGGGGGCGCAAATTACTTGCCTTGCCCCGGGTGCTGACAACCCACGCTACGCCACTGGCTGGAGGGGCAACCCCCCCCAACCTATACATAAATTCCTGCAACACCATCAAAACGAGTGCTGGTAAGGAGGTTATTTAAGACTAAAGTCTAACATAATTGAATTGCTTCACTGCTTAGTCAAGAAGATTATTGCAGTTGTGCCCATTGTTTTCTGGACCTTGTCTCTGATAACTCACTGCTGGTCACTATTCCCACCCCACCCCCATCTTTTAAAATACTGATTTTATTTATTTTCATGGAACAGAAGGTAAATTTTAGAAAACAATTGTTACCACAGTAAACAACAAACATTTTTTCCTGAAAAAACTACAGACTTTTATCATACCATGTGTTACAAGTTTCATTTGATTCCTCTAAGAGATCAAGCCACATTTTCCTATGAGTACTGGGTGGATTCCTGCCACAGTCTGAACAATTTATGTATTCAATAAACGTTTGCCATATGTTATAAAATATATATGAATTGTGTTTGCCCTTTGCTGGTCACGATTTTTGAGAATTGGGAATGCTTTGTTCTAATTTACTAGTTTGAGTTAGACAGAGTTGTCATTCTTCAGGTTTTTTTTATCAGGATGATTGGTCCATCACCACAACATACTTTTTTTGAAGGGACCTTCAGGATTCTATTCCAACCCTGAAGAGCTTCTACCAGTCAGTGTAAACAATACTGAACTCAATATAAGACAGCTTCCTCTGTCTCTCTCCCTCTCTGTCATCCTCGACTCCAGTCTAGTGATTTTATATATAGTTGAATCCCTGCCAGTTGGATTTAGAGGACACCATCACCTTGCTGGTAACAAACTCCAAATTATATTTAATATGATTTGAGCTTTTTGGTTTCCATGCTTATTCAGTATCCAGCTATAGCCTGAAACCCAAACAATACATTATGAGAAATTTGTGGCACCCCCTTCTCCCTTGCACATAGAAAATTAGCAGGTCATGGAGTGGCTAGGTCAAATCACTTCACCTTGAAAGATAGCTTTCTATGTGAACTTTTTTTTGAGGGGGGAATGGAGGAATATTAATGGACCCTTTATTGGGTCCATGCACCACATAATAGCCCTTAATTCAAGGCACCGGGTCAGCAAAACCTTCTTCTTTTAATTATTTTTGAGACTGGAAGCAAGTATGAAATGGATTTTCTATCTGCCAGTTAATTAGCACCCAGAAAACAAAGACTGCTGGAGGATGAAAAAGCACTAATTAACAGGCTCCTTTTGGACTTTTTGGGGTGGAAAAAAAAAGAACAAACTTGTGATGACTGGGACTGAAGATTGGGAAAACACTGCTGAGCAGATTGAGAAATAGCTGGATATTATATTGAAACACAGCTAGATGTTATCCTGGAGTGTATATTTTGAATACAGTGGTACCTTGGTTTACGAACTTAATCCGTTCCGGAAGTCCATTCTTAAACCAAAACCGTTCTTAAAGTGAGGCATGCTTTCCCTAATGAGGCCTCCCGCTGCTGGTGCCCTTTCACCATTTGGATTCTGTTCTTAGACTGAGGTAAAGTTCTCAAACCGGGACACTATTTCCAGTTTTGTGGAGTTTGTAAACCAAATCGTTCTTAAACCGGACTGTTCTTACACCGACGTACCACTGTACTTTGAATAATCTTTATGTACATAATTGGTAGATGGAGAATTGGAAGCCCTTCTTATTTCTTATCTCTTTTTCTTCTATGAATTCTAATTCTTGTTTTCTTCTGCTAACTCGATATTTATGTTTTCTTCTTTGATGTTTCCTATTTTAGATTAATGAAGATACACACAAGAAGGTAATGGATGGAAGATAAAGGGCCAGGGTAGAGAGGATCTTTGAAGGTGGGAGGCTGGGGAGAAAAGGGGGAAGCTCCCAAGTGGGGGCTGTGAGGGTTCACCCTTCTTGTGTGGAATAAAGGTTAAGACACAGCCTTGATAGAGGGCTTTGTATTAATTTCTACTTCATCATCATATTTCTCTTATTCTCTCTGCTTTATTTTAATTTAGCTTAGTTTGGTTTTTATTGTATTCTCTCCTGAAAACTTTCAATTAAAAAATCGATTAATTTTTTTAAAAGCTGCATTCTTAGGTTGATGTGCAGACCAGTGAGGGTGGGGACGTCTGCACATGATGCCTGTACTGTAATCTGATTTGTTTCCCTGCGATGAACTCTTCACTAAATATGTGATTTTGTAATTTTTACAGCATTCCTGTGATTGAAGCTGTGTTCCTGGAGTGGTTACAAGCATTGCTGCAATTGTTTTATTGCGTTGGGTCACCTTATACTTTGTATTTATATGCTGCTTTATAGTCCTCTTCGCTTTATAAAATTATTATCAATTAATGGTGAAATAACCTCTGGTTGAAAACGCACGTGCGTTTTAACGTTTACCTAAAGCGGGACCAAAAAAATACTGAACTACTAGGAGCTTGCTAAAGGCCGAAATTCAACTTGTAAAGCTGGCACTCAGGAAAAAGCTTCACCCGTTGAATTCCTGCCTACTGGGCCTCCAAGTCCAGAGCGTGACTAGAAATGCGTCAACGTTCGTGCGTAAGAAGTGCAAACAACACACACACAGCTTATGGGGGAGGGGCTCCTCCTCCCCCCACAGTAGAGGAGGATGATTTTGGGGCGTGTGTGTTTGCGGAGGCTGAGGGGCCGGGACGAGGCCTTGACCAGTGAGAGGAGCCAACGAGCTCTAAAGCGGAGCCGATTCAGCTCTTTAAAAACAAGGTCTAAGACGCGCCCGCCCACTTCGCGCGTCGTTCGCAAGAGCGCATGCTCCCAAACAATGAAAGAAAAATCCTCCCAAAGGAAACACTGAGACTCTCCTATCATTTTTTTTTTTTGCGTGCGCGCAGGCACTTGGCTGTGCGCACGCGCACCCGTCGCGCCTCCCCGAAGGTCAATCTTTCTTTCTCCCCCCCCCAAAAAAACCACACCCCTAGCATTGCCCTTTTCCCGCTCCGCCTCTTCTCCCCCGGCTACTTCGATGATTGGTCCCTTTCCTGGTTATCACTGTCAACGGAACTCTTTTTTGTTGTTGTTTCTCATTTTTATTTTCTGGGTTGGCATCAGTCGCCCGCCTGTATTCTTTCCGTCTCCTCCCCTCTCCGAGTGAGGCGATTTTCTGCGTGTGTGTGTGTGTGTGTGTGTGGCCGGTTTTTTTGCGACAGGACGTTGCGGCTCTTCTTCCCACCGCCCCCCTCCCCTCCTCCCGCCCCCCTCCGTCAGTAGTGGGCGGGGAAACCCCGTGTAAGGGGTGGCCGCCATCTTGGACAGAGTGTGTTGTGCGAGCGGATTGAAAGGAGCAGAGGAGGGGCGGTGGCGAGTGGCAGTAACAGCAGCGAGGGACGAGTGGGGGTGGGGAAAAAAGAAAGAAAGGAGAGGAGCTCGCTGCGCGCGCGCAGACACAGGCCCCCACCTCCCCACCCACAATACCCAGAGCACGCGTAAGGCGGTGGTGGGGCCGGCGCCAGACCGAGTCTCGAACCCGGAACGAGAAGGGGAGGAGACCTCCCTTGTTGCTGCCGCCACAGCCGGAACCAAGCTGCCCAGTCACCAGTCCCTCGGACCCAGGTAGGTTTGTCGAGGCCTAGCCGGGTTTCGAGGCCTCGCGCGGGGTTGCCTGGCAACCGGAGGCGGGGTGGGGGGGCACTTGACCCCTCCCTTTCTTTGCTGGGTGGTGGTGAAGGGGGGCTTTTGAGGGAAGGGTCTGCGTCGAGTCTTGAGGGCGGCTAGGCCTCCTCCTCCTCCTCCTTTGTATTGCGTGTTAGAGGCCTGCGGGTGCCCAGGCCTCCCCTCCCTGCTCACCGCTTTGCAGGTGGGCCCACCACACCCAGCTCCACAGGAAAGGGGGAGGCCTCCGCCCGTGCAAAACCGCCGCTCACGTTTGCCTCCCTTGGAGATGTGCCCTTTTCCTCTCTCTAACTTGGCGGGGTGGGATTGAAAGACTCCCACCCCGATCCTTTCCCGTTTCGCCCCCGCCCCTACCTGTGCATGTTTATACGGGTCTTGCTCTTGCACAGGTGTTGCCCTCCCAGATAGAGTGGGCTGGATCCGGACTTGGTCATGTTCAGAGCAAGCCCCACCATAATCCTGCGGGGCTTCAGCATCGTTGATTTCAATTGCCAGCTTGAGTTCGATGGGCCTGAGTCCAGGGGGAGGATGTGAGGAAGAGCCCTGCTGGATGAGGCCAAGGGAGGCCTATGTAGCCCAGCCTCTCGTTCTCACAGGGGCTAAGGGGATGCTTCTGGGAAGGCTACAAGCAGGGTCCGAGTGCAACAGCCCTCATTCCTTCTTGTCATCCCCAGCAACTGGTGTTCAGAAGCATACTTGCTCCCAAGAGTAGGGAAGGAACATAGCCATTGATAATCCTACCTTTCATAAATGTGCCTAATCCTCTTTTAAAGCCAACTCAAGAGGCCACCACTAGCTCTTGAGGTGAGAATTCCATAGTTCAGGTCTGGGCTGTGTGAAGAGATGATTTTGTTCTGCTCTGTCTGGGCTTTCCCAATACTTAAGTTCTAGTATTTTATGAGAGAGGGAGAAAGACTTCCTCTTTTATCCATTTTCTCCACATCAGCCTTTGTAAGTATTGAAGATGCATAGCCCACTGGGCTCAATGAGCCTTGTCTCCTCCCCCCCCCCAATGCAAAAAAAGTAAGGGTTGCAACCTAACATAGCTACTCCTGGCTTTAATAGATGCTCCTCTGTGTGGTATTTGCTTCTGCACTACACAGATTCTAAGTTGTTGAGCCCTGTGTCTCATATATTGGTAAGTGCCTTGTAGAGTGAATAATGCTGCTACTAGGGAGTGTGGTGCTCACTCCGGGTGTATTGGTGGGTGGTCTTTATTCCTATGGAATCTAGGTGTATTGTTAAGTATAACTGCCCTGCTAGAGGGTGGAATATGTTTGTGTGTAGCTTATATAGGCCTAATTTTTTGCAGGCGGCAAGGAGGAAAAAACATAGGGAAAGTGGGTGGCAGAAAGAGAGAGAGAAAGGAGTACCCCCACCAATCTTTTCTTTTTGTTGTGGCCCATTTTGGCTCTGGGTTTACCAGTTGCCAGTGTACAGGCTCTTTTGATTACTTCTGAGCCCTTGACAGAAAAAAGGTTGTTCACCCATATATGGCAAACTTCTTATTTGAACTCTTTATGCGGGTCTTGAGGTCAGCCCATCTCTAAGTCTAAGGGGATAATATGACACAAATCCAATAGATGTGTATCTGATTTGTATGCAGATTAATGATAGGTGCTTATTTCTATAACAATTTTGTTATATGCACCTGTAAGTGTCAGGGTGTGTCTGAGGCACATCACCATTTATGACCAGTCTGCTTGAAAAGGCATTGTGGAAAGGCCTGTTATGCAAATGCGTAAGACAGGCATTGCAGACATTGCATTCTATGTGAATGCGTGTGTGTTTCATGCATGATGTTTTAATACATGGTGATAGCCTCTGTGATAATGAGAAAAGCTTGTGTGCCTTTAATTTGCACATTTGTACAGTTATATGCACTGGGAATCTATTATGCAGGGGAATATCGTGCAAATTTCCCTTGTTTGTTATCTAGACACCCTGTGTGTCCATGCACACATGCACACAATTTATAGCTCTGTAAAAGTGCTCATTATGTGCTAGTTGTATTATGCTGGCATACAACACAGTGAAGAATGTGCATTTTATCTGGCTTGAATAACAAACAGAAAATGTCTGAGATAGCGTAGTTGGGCTGCAGCCCTATACCCACTCACCTGGGAGTAAGCCCAAATGAACTTAATTGGAATAGATTTGCATAGAATTGAACTGTAAAATTTGGATCTGAACTTAAAAGGGTACCAAGTGGCAGTATGTACATCATTTACTAGTGCTCTAATTTTCACAGTTTAGGTTGTGCAATCCTTACTATATAACTAACTGTAGTAGTACTTCCTCAGTAAGAGAAATAGCAGATTAAGTGCTTCTGTTTCTTAATGTGTAGGATGAACTGGGTGCATTCCTCCCTCTCTCATACTGTATGTAAACAGTAGATCCTTAATGAGGGATAGGCTGTGCTTGTTTATACACTCACTTTTTCCTATGAGCATTCAGGGTGAATGTAAGTAAGCCTTTAATATATACACTTTAAGTTGAAATTGACATGGCAGTCGTTGGCTAATAATGAAAAGCAATTATTATTTCATATTAGAGAGAGCAAAGTTTTGCTTTGTGGCTTTGTATAGTTAGAAAAAGAGTTTAATGTTGCATGGGGGAAATCCTGGAATATATTTTCACCCTATCAGCAGGGTCTTTTAGAAAGCTTCATAGAAGGGAACTCACCAAAAAGTTTGATTTATGGTTGCTAAGGCATCCTCTTTTACCCTGCTTACACGCAGTTTTCCCCCCTTCCACTGAAATGGCTGCTTTCTAATGAAATACTCAAAAGAAATCTCATTGAACTCAGATTCTAAGAACTCATGCTTATGTGAAATCCTTTGAGTTAGTTTCAGGAACTTCAACGGACACGAAAAAGAAACGAGAATTGTCATCTGTGCATCCTAGATGTGTGTGCATCCTTGAGCGTGACTGTGTGTATGTGTGAGAATAGCTCCCCCTGTATCTGCCTTTCCATGGGAGATCTGCCTTAAACTTTGCATTTTGGGGAAACCTTGTCAGATTCAATTGCTGTGCCTCCATCTTGATGTCTGTGCTTAGAAATGGAAGTGACTGCATGTATTTTAATTTAGTTGGTATTGAGCGTCTTGATTTTCACACAACACTAAGCCATAGTTTATTAAACTCTGATTTATTAAACCATGGCTTAGCAATGGTCTGCCAATTAACTACAATATGAAGCCTTTATTTGTTATTGGCTTACAAACCTAGTGTTAGGTGTGAACAGCAGGATTTTTTTGCCCATTCCACACTAGATGCTCACCTAGCTAAAGGCATGAGGTAAGAGCAGTGGTAAGCCATGGTTTGTTCAGTCAAAAGTGGGACAGCTCGTCGTTAACTTGTGCTATTAGCTAAGGCTTTAGTGAACCATGGCTTGGCATTATGTACAAATGTGGCCAGTGCTAAAGAGTTCATATTTTTTCCTATACAGTGGTGCCTCGCAAGACGAAATTAATTCGTTCCGCAAGTCTCTTCGTCTTGCGGTTTTTTCGTCTTGCGATGCACGGTTTCCCATAGGAATGCATTGAAAATCAATTAATGCGTTCCTAGGGAAACCGCCTTCAGACCAGGTCCGGGGACAGACTGTCCCCGGACCTCTTCTGAAGGCTGGGGGGGGACAAGGGCTTTTCTTCCCACCCCCAGCATTTTAAAAAACCCTGGGACAGCGGAGGACTTCTCCGCTGTCCGGGCGATCTTAAAATGCTGGCGGGCGGCTGGGGCAGGTGTTCCCGCCCCCCCCACCCCGCTTCGGAGCACCGGGAGAAGCGATCTCCCCGCAGCCCCTTGCTTCAAAAGAGAAGACCCGCTGTCCCCGGGGCAAGCTTCGTTTTGCGAAGCAAGCCCATAGGGAAATTCGTCTTGCGAGGCAACTCGAAAACGAAAAAGCCTTTCGTTTTGCGAGTTTTTCGTCTCGCGAGGCGTTCGTCTTGCGGGGTACCACTGTACCATTAATGAGAGGCCCCATTAGCTGAAGTGGTGCTTCAGGTTAAGAACAGTTTCAGGTTAAGAACAGACCTCCAGAACGAATTAAGTTCTTGACCCGAGGTACCACTGTATAGGGGAACATTATTTCAAGTAATACTTGCTGCTTGAAATTTCTGAAGTTACACATTGGCCACACCCTAAGCTGCAGTTTAATGTAAAAGTATGTATTGTCCTGTGCCACTTCCATCACACAGGTTGGAGGTTCATATGCTGGAATGCTTCTTCACGTGCACTTATTCTCTCTCCCTTTCCCAGTGAAAAATAGCATGTCAGGATGAACCTAGCTTTTCTCCCAACATGCTAGTTTCTACAAAAGGAATCTCCTCCTCCATCGAACATATGATCCTCTCCTCTCCTCTCCCAAAGTGGTTTAATGCGGACACAGGTTTTACAGTCTCAAAGAGAGCAGTGTCTCTGATGTGTGCACATGTTGCCAGAATCTTATGCCAAACAGAATGCAACAGATGAATGTATTCTTTCCTGAGGTGTAAGTCAGTCAAAACATTCTTGCATGCTGTGGGACTTGTAATTCACTTTCCTTCAACAGCTCTGATGTGTGTATCATATATATTCAGAATATATACAGCTCCTTTCAACCACTTGTCAAAGATAGTAGTAGTGGTAATCCCACAAAGTCTTGAAGGGCTGCAGTTTACCTGTCTTGTGTTCCTCAGTACAGTACAGTACCTCATGTTACGTTTCCTTCATGTCACATTCTTTCAGGTTATGTCCCGTGGCAACCCGGAAGTACCGGAAAGGGTTACTTCTGGGTGTTGCCGCATGTGCACAAGCGCCAAATCGTGCCACATACCTGCGCCGATACGGCGCTTCAGGTTGCGTTCTTTTCAGGTTGTGAATGGGCCTCCAGAACGGATCCCATTCGCAACCAGAGGTACCACTGTAATTATAACTGTCACAACTACAGTTTTTGCACA